GCTAATGGTAAGTGGGTGGTCGGACAATGCTTAAAGGAATCTTCCGCGGAAAAAGCTCCGCCTCCATTACCACAGAAAAACGATACCCCTTAGGCCCCTAGCCTCATGAGCATAGCAAAAAGAACGGAACATAAGCGTTAGTTTCGATAATACTAATCCTACACACAAGACAAAATGATCACTCTTTCCGTGGAAGATTCCTTTAAGGTATCGTTTTCTGTGGTAATGAGGGCGGAGCTTTTTCCGTGGAGGATTCCTTTAATAGGTCCCAGACAATTTCTCTGAGAGCCGTGGCGCTTTTGTGCTGATTGAAGCGTTCAACGTGAACAATTCCATTTTCTATATTCATGCATCTCTTGGAGGCTAAATCAGGTTAAAAATGATACTATTTTTGAAATAGATGGTGCTCTATCAAAGGTGTTATAAGGCGCCGAGTCTTGCTCAGGAACTCCTCCGTTTCTCAGACACGCCCACTGCCGACACCAACACAATGGAGAAGTTATCAATGTGTTGTTGAGTGCAAAATGAAAGACTCGTCTGGCACTGGGTCCAATTATTTTATGCATTACTTTCAGTTTTTATCTGTGGGCTGTTCCAAATGTGTGAAATCCCATTTGTCAAAACGCTATACGATGAAATACGAAAAAGGGAGTGGGCGTGGCCAGATCTCGCTTGGGACAGAATGTGTACGAACACTAGCGTAACACAGAGAAGAGGCTTCTCAATTTGCATACTATCTGCACCCGATTATGAGCGAGAAAGACACAACTGAGAAAACAAAAGAAACTCTCCTTCATGCCGGTACAGGCAGTTTTAACGTTATCTGAACCATTTTGTTGCAGTGAATTTTTGACTTTTTTATGACCTTGCGTACTTTTGGTGGGGTCAAGATGTGAAAAAAATTTCGGCGAAGACCAATTCCTTCAACTACCGCGTTCTGTGCGTCAAGGTCTTGCTTCTACTTAGCTTGTGTCTTTAGTCACCAACCACCACCGCACAGGAACCAAACGGGTGATTCCCCCTCAGCGATTTCGAGTTCAAAGTGAGTGCTTCGAGACTGCCTTTGTTGTTGTTCATTTTGTTTCTTCTTATGTTTCAGATTCCATATGTGACAATAGAGAGATAAACGACGCAACTCGGAACGCCTACCTCGATCAACATAACGAGTACAGGTAAAACATGTGGTACTAAGTGTTGAAGCAGTTAAAAAAACGCTGTTGCGCATCAGATAGAAATAATTTGAACGTTCTACATTGTTTAGACGACTAGAAATGAGATCAAAAACACATTCCACAAATAACGTACATGAATTAAGCCCTCCCTCAAGTGGGATAGAGCTGTCCAATGAGGTGGCGCATGCGTCGTCCCTTAGAGGCAAACCCCGGGATTAGCCCGAGTTGTGGGAAGGATACCGCGAGGGAAATTGTAAGGTCCCTACCTACCTAGATCACTCCAGCTTCGCCGCAAAATTGCGCGGTTAGGCGCTTACGGGCCTGCAACCATCGACCCCCGTTGCAACGCTTCCCACCCACCTCGATATCGGCGTGCTCTCTCGAACGGCGTGATCTCTCGCGTGTTTTGTCTTCTTTGACCGCCCTGCCTCGCCATCGTTCCACATCCGACCTTTTGAAGGTTAAGGCCTTAATTTCAGCGATCCCAAAGATTTCTCTAGCTTTCCTTTCCACTTTCAGGCCGTCCCGCAGCTCAGTCATCACTACGAAGCGCTCTTATCACCGGTTTTATCCCGGGCTTGCCTTTAAGTCTGCGTGTCGGCGCTAATGTGCTTCCTCTTCCTCCGTGCTCTGTTCTCTCTCTCCCTCTCTTTCTCTCTTCACTCGATGAGCCACTGAAGAAGCTTCAATTTCACTGTTTTTCAGGGAATCCTCTTCTTTTTTCCTCCGTTAGTGGTCCTTCTTTCACCCCTGTTTTCGTTTTCAAACAAAACAACTACATTCTTTGACTGCAAAATCCGTCCTTTCAGGAGAGTCCCACGATCAGGTCGGACGTCGAAAAAAAGGGGGGGGGGGAAGACACCTAGTGGACAGGCAAGTTGGCCCCTCTACGGTGCGAAACAATTCCGGTTTCGCTCCGAGGAATACGCCCACAGCGGCCTAGCAGGGTCGGACCAGCATCGCTCACGCCGGTGCCCGCCCATCCCCTCGCCGTGGCTCTGGCCGCTCTAGCAGTGGGAGCGTCCGCGTTGATCAAGACGGCAGCGATGAGACTCGCCTAATTTCCAGTCAAGAGCTACCAAGGGGCAGAAGGGTATCCCATTTATGAGGTTTTCGGCCGTTTTCCTTAGATTTTAGCTTCATCCTTGCTGACCCCACCTTGAAATTTAGTAGCCTGTCTTTTTATCGTAAACTTTGCCTAGGAGTATGCCTGAACAGTGCCGAGACCCAGCAAATGTTACTCTCAAATGAATCTTTTCATTATGCACGAGGATGACTTCATGTTTTGCAGCAGAACTTTGGAAGCAGATTGAATAAAAATCTAGAATCAACAGTATTTCAAGGAGTACTTGATAGCATTCAGCATTACATGAGCATTAGAGACCCTTAGAAGCATCAGTTTGCATTCGGTTTCGCACGTGCTCTCAAACTTAATCCTGACGCGTAAAAGGCTAGACGGAGAAAAAGCCGAGTTTGAAGTACTGAAAAAAGACTCTATTTCTGTTTGAAGTTGTGTTTATTTGAATTTTAGAATAATAGGTCAATTTGGCAAGAGGAGGAGGATTCAATGGAAACTGTCTCGGCTATGCACCCAAAGCACGGGACATGCAAAAAATGGTGCATTATTTTTTTGCTTCAATTTGCTTGAAGGATTTATAACACCACAGTAATCATCAACGAAATGACTGTTGCAGAATTACGACTGCACTGCTGAAACGTCAGCGCTGCGCCATGCGAAAACATGCTCTGGTGAGCTCTCAGAGCGATCATCTCGGCCTGGATTGAAAGAGAATATCATCAAACTTTACAAAAATTACTTGAATGACACGGATGTTGGACTGCCATGTATGTCATTCGTTGAAATCTTCCTTCTTACTTTCTTTAAAGAATTAAAAGAAGTTAGGTGAAGATGTAGAACTACAAGGTCCTCTAAGGGCTGCGCAGCCGAACTTTGAAACTCTTCGTCGTTACTTGGAGACTTCTAGTCAAGAGAAGTGTAGTGTAGGATGGATTCGTGGCTGCGACGTGGGAGTGATCCTTTCAAATATGCTAGAGAAGAAGAAGTAGAAAGGAAGGTTCATTCAGGTCAGAAAAACCAACAATGGATATACAAATAACGATCACGCGGCGATCGGATTGCATCCATGGGACCGGACCACCGAGCTGAGGTTAGCGACCAGGTGCCGGCGCAATCCACTACTTTCTTCGTTGTAGCGCGCAAAAGGCTCTTTCCAGAGCCATTAGGCTCTCCCAAGCTGGCCACTGAGGCCAGATCACCGAGGCACTAAGCTCCATCTAGGCCACTCACGGAGCCAGATCACCGAGCCACGAAGCCTCCAACAAAACGAGCAGCTAGAGGGCGGCTCGCGTTCTACACGTGAGGCTAATTCAACCGCGCTGGTCCTCTTCTTCGGACCGACGGCTCCCAACTGAAAAATAGCAAGGCTTGCGACGGTGCAGGGTACAGCATGACTGAAAGACGGTAACGCTGGAGCTGAAGAAGAGAACACTGCAGGTTGATCCCTGAATCGTCAGGAACCACTGCAGCTCTGGAACTGGAGATTCTGCATGGGAACACGGACTCCTGTTATTGGGGCCTTCCCGCGCCAATCATTTGCCTTTGGCAAGGGTGGTTTCCCATGACCACCCAAGATCACAAACCGCCTTGCCGTCCTCGACCGAAACGTGCTCAGACGCTGTCATAGGCTTGATTCTGAAGGCATGCATATCTCTCGCTTGCAAACGGAATTTTGTGCACTTGGCCAAAGAGTACAACTAAGTGATAACAGAGTGCGCCTTTGATAAGCTGTATGAAGAGCTACTAACCAGAATCCGTAATAATTTAAGGCGTCTTTCAGATGGTGGAGGGAATTGTCTTTGTATGGAGTCAATGTTGAAATGCGATTCACCTCAGAAGTTCGCTGAGTCGTCAGTGAAGAATATGTTCAAACACTTTGGACCAAGGTGTTTACCCTCCCTGAATATTAATTGTTTTCTCTTGAGTTATCTTTGCAAGTTTCTCTTTCAGATGGCATGCATGACAATGTGAGCCGCTGTCGGAGTGTGGACATCTCGATGCCGATGGGTTCATATTTGCAGTCTGTCACTATGGACCTGGGTAACTTCTTGACGATGATTCCGATCGGGCTAAAAAAGATCGTGGGCTCTTTTTCAGTGGCAACAGGATCGGCGAAAACATCTACGGTCGGGGCAACACATGCGCCAAGTGTCCCGGAAATTCCACATGCAACGACAGCACAGGACTTTGTAATTGAACACGCAATAGCTATTCCAAGATCGATCCAGTACTGTGAAGAGCAGTGCTATTGAAGTAGTTTGGAACAACAAATCAAACTCAGTGTAAATAAATAGTTGGTCCGATATCCTTATGTTCTTGTATCTCGTTCTTGAGGATGCGCCACGCACTTGACATCCATTCATGGTGCTGCAATTCAATGTGTGACTTTTCCCAATAAATGGTCTTTACTGATTTGACGCTACACTGCTAGAGAAGCCCGATATCTAGCCAGTGATGCCTCAGCATGTCCTACATTCCAGGCTTACTACACCACACCTGTATATCTGACTTATTACAGTTTATCAGCACAAGTGTATTGCTCCCGATTCTCATTACCAGTCACCGCGCACGGTGTTTGACAGGTTCGTGAGGCGGCCTAATGACACACAATAACGATCCTTAGTTCATCACTTGCTGTGCCTGTGTGTTCATGCCTTCAAACCAGAGCTTCGTCCAAGCTTCTTTTCGTTCTCGGGCTCCGTTGTTGTACTTCATGTATTGATGGGCTCTTTCATGAGCAGAAAATTCTATGGCTACCCTCCCGACACATTGGGGACAGCGCGGGACGCATACGTCCCGCACCGTCCCCAATGGCACATCACGCATTTGCACACCGGGCGGACCAGTTTTAGTGCCTCTATTTTCATGTTACAAAGCTAACCGTATATATTTTTGTGTATTCAGGATATAGCATACTTATTAGCAATAAGGAATTTTTGGTGAAGTAGTAACTACCGCTGAAAAATTGTGAAAAAGATGGGTAAATGGGCGATCAGCGGGTGTCGTCAACGTGCTAAACATACGCGAGCAGCACACATCACAAACTCGCAGCCATCGTGCACCACATGTGTTGTGCTTGTGTACAAACTATCGTAACCAGTAAGTTTTGATGCGAATATTTTATTATAGCGTTAGTTGCATGTATGCAAGTAATAGAACGGAATTCCGTGCAATACGA